AGAAATATATTTCTGAACACTCCCGGTTGCATTTGATTCGAAACTTTTAGCTTTTTATGGTATTTGAAGTTGTAAGTTGTATCAAATGTAGCGAAATGGCGGGATTACCATTAATACGAAGAAGCGAAACTGAAACTGAAAGACATGGAATGCAGTTTGACCCTCCGGTTTATATTCAACGTTATAGAACGGTTCGTGATATTCTTGAAAAAGAAAAAATTGTTAAGGTTAGTAAATATATAGCTATAAATAATGATATTAATACTATTGCTATTACTAGTAGTAGTAACTAATGGTAATAGTAATATTTCATCGTGTAATTATTAATGACTAATGTGTATATGACTAAGACTAAGAGTAACACATGAGGCTTTTTTTAACAAATATTTGTAAACTATTTATGCCCCCTGTTGGTTGTAGATCCATGATGTTACCATCACTAATGACCACATTATAATAAAACATACTCTAATCTTAGTATAATTACTGTTTGAGTTTCCTAATGTATATTTTAACATAATATAATATTCAGACAATGATGGATCATCTGTCAGAAGAATTAAAACTTAACTGAGTTCTAGCCTGCCTTTTTCTTATCTTAATTTTGGCTCCTCTAGAACTGTTATCATCAAAATATTGCTCAAACAAGTTAAAGGATTTTATGCTATTAACCACCTAAATATTCTTGTAAATTAACTTCAGTAAGATTATCTTAAACCTGTCATTTCTCAAGACAAAACATCTTAACCCATACAGTTTAGGGATACAGAAAAACTTGACTGTAAATCAACTAAAAAAAAAATCATCATCCAATCTTCCTCTGTAAATGTAACCAATGCAATGTAATTCTTAAAGGTGTTAACCTTCTTTAGACTAAAATCAATCTGATGATATAAGAAATTAAAAGTCACCCAGAAAGTCTTTATTTGGTGTTTTTGAGATTCCCACCCTCGGGTTTGTGCCAGATATCTCAGATTTGTGTATACAACTACAAGTAAATGGTGTTCAAATGACATATGCCATATATAACCCATATGACAATAAGAGATTAAGGTGAAATTACCTATCAACACCACATGAATTCAAAGAATAACTCAGCCAAATAATAAAGCCAAAATTCAGGATAGGATAAAATATCACCATTGCAAGATACAAATAATATTAATGATCTGTATCAGAAGATAGATAACAAAACACACACACCAAAGAAATTTACATAAAGAAACTAAATCCTTGTAAAATGAGGCTTTATCATCATAGACACACTTAAATGCACCATAATAAACTTAAGAAAATCACCAATAACAAAATCTGAAAAGAGTGTACTAAGTAAAGGGCTAAAGTTTGCCCTAAGACTTAACCAATACCCACCTTAGATATAACTCAAACCACAGAAAGTGCAATCTGCAGCTTACTAAAAAAATAAAAAGAAGCCAGAAAATATATACCCATTATAACATCACTATACTTCCACCAGAAACTTGAAGAAAAACAAAACCATAATAATTCTACCAGCAGACAAAGGGAATGCCACTGTAATCAGAGACAATGAAGAATACTCTATCAAATTCCAAACTCTTATTGAAAATATTCACTACATGAAGATCAAGTTTATCTTAACAGCTAATACAGATAAGAAAATTAACCAACCCATCAAGAAACATTAGAAAGAATGCCGAGCAGAAACAACTAATAGCATGCAACAGCACTATCCACACTTCTGTAGATTACCAAAAATTCACCATGTTTTAGCTAGATATCTGGTAGATCTATCGTCACTAACAGGTAAATCATCCACACATTCTAAGAACTTGACCCACTATGTAGAGATTATAAAAGTAACCAGGATAAATTCACAAGAAACAATAATCAACATTAATGTATCTAACCTCTTCACTAATGTACCAACCCCTGGTACACTAGAAATACTTCACCAATAGCTTGAAAATAATAGAACTCTTGAGGAATGCACCCACACTGACAATTTCCACAATAATAGAACTTGCAAATTACAATACCAAAACTCAATACAAACTACTTTAACTTAAGATAAATACTACCAACAACAAGAAAGCCTATCTTGGAGCTTGCTCCTATAACTAGCACCCAGTAACCAAAATATGGGATATTCTAAAGCTAGTACACTCTAAACAGTCACTTTAATCCCCAAGATGTGGCTCGGATATATTGATGATACATTTGTAATATGGTCACAAACTAAAAGGATGGAAGAAAATCACATCACTACAATCCTTCTTAACAATGGATACCTGGAACACTTGATAAAGAAGTTAAACACCAAGAATAAATGGGGAAAAAGTTACTGACGTACAACCGTATTCCTTTACATCATAGGTCTTGCTTGAAAACATACAGATAATAGGTAAACAGCATAAAGTCATAACAGAAACCACAACACAATATAACCACAATTATTGTACAACAAACCACCTAAAACCCTAATGTAGAATGAAAACCATTTACAGCATTCCCAGAGAATGTGGATTCCAATAAGTTGGAGATACTAAAAGACTAATAAAATGTAAAATTCAGAAGCGTAATAAACATATAAGAATCGGTAACACTGAATTATCTGCAACAGCCCATCATACCAAAGTAAACCTTACATAAATGTTGTAATAATAGGATATGAATCACGTATGATAAAAATATAAAATCCTTCTTCACCCATTTAAGTGATAACACAATCAGTCAACCTTGTATAGATGTCACCAAAAGATGGATACTCTTTTAGAAAACAAGTAGTGGATTTCAGTTGTAATGGGGAGACTCTATACATGCAGTTGAATGTAAAACACACTAAACTTCTATCAAGAAGACCAAGGATCTAATCCCAACCACTGCCAACACAGAAGATAGCCCTTCCCAGGACTTCTTGTGTGAAACTTGAAAGTAAACACTTGGTCATATAACTTATTGTGAGAATATCCTTAAAAGTAACAATTGTATATAATATTCATAAAATTTATGTTTCTGGCTTAAAAACAATACAGTAAATATATATATTTAGAATTGACAAAACTTATTATAGAGCAAATCTTGCATGAACTTGAGAAAAATTAAAGTTATGTTCAAAACTGTACTCAAATAATATTCAGAGCTGAACAAGTAAGCAAAAATATGTAGTTATATTCAACTCAGTAGGGCTATGTGTACTATAGATGTTTGTGTGTATACATAACTGACAGTGGGTGAGAAATGCAATGTAGATTAAGCATCCAGGAAATTAAATATACTGGTGAATTGATATTAATGTTCTACCATGCTTTTTGTTTATTTTTGAGGTAATCGATTTTGGGTGTGCAGAAGGGAAGTTCTTAAGATATATCAAGAAAATTGAAACTCTTGAAGAAATTGCTGCTGTTGACTCTCAGTACAGTTGTTTGATGGATACAAGACAAATTGCAGCACCTATAGCATGGGATTTCTTGTTTAAAAGAAAAAGGCCTTTGTGCATCAAGCTCTATGAAGGAAGTATTTCTGACTGTGATATTCGTGTGGCTGGGTTTGATGCTGTAACATGTATAGAGTTGTACGTCTGTGTTGATTCTTTTCCTGTAAAAAGTACTTCTAATTGTATTAGTGAATTGTGCCACTTGTGTATTTGTTAACATAAGCTTGGTCACAATATATTCATTTTGATTAGTTTGTTACTAATTGATTGTGTCAAAAACAATCTCGCTTTTAAATGAGTAATAAAATTGTGGGTTGTTTGTGATTATGTGTTGTCATTTTTCTGTACTGCAGCATTAAGTCAAGAGAAGGTCGTGTAATGTTAAGGGAATATATAGCTGATAATACAGTTACTGCATATTAGGATGTTTGATCAATACTCCTGAAATGTTTTTTTGAATTGCAGTGTGCAATTTACTCCAAATTAGACTGGTCTATTAAATTAGCTTTACTAATTACTGAATTAACATTTAGATCTAATCAGTGTAGGTGGCTTGCTTTGATTGGTGGTTAATGAAGTTGTAGATTAGAAAAAAAAATGATAAAATTCTAATATTAAAGCTGGAGTCAATATATATTTACATGTTATAAACATATAATATGTGTTAAGTTAACAGTTTTCATATATTTGTGATGTAAATGTATTATTTTGTTTCATATATACAATTGCTACCTGACATCTTTAAAAGAAGAAACACTTTATATGAACAAGAAATACATGTTTTAAAGAAATGGTTATTTTTCCAGTATAGTTTGAGATGTGTTTGCATAAATCATGGGAATAAATGTTATTTTCTGTTTTTCATTTTGCTTCCAGAAAAGTGAGTTTTAAAAATATAGGTTGTAGGAAAAATTAGTCAGAAGCTATATACATAAGTATTAATAAAAATATATTTCACAAGTGTAGACATAGAATAAAGTTTTATGCATATTTTTGCTTTGTGTAGATCTGTGAGTGGCACTGAATCTTCAGTAGTTGCATGGTCTAGGGTTTTACCATTTTGACATAGCTACTGACTGAGGTCTTTATGTTCAGACATTACCTTTCAATACTTTCTCCTAGTCATTGTGGTTTAATATTGTGAATTCACCATGATTTTGATTAATAATAACAAGCTAATAAGTAAATAACTTTTAAAGAGCTAGACAAGTGTATGTGAAGTAACATGAGATAGCTTGAATGTAGTATGTTTTTAGAATATCTTTAACATGTGTAAATATGGTTAGAAGCTATAGTTTTTCACCATACTTTTGTTATAAAGCAGAAAAAAGTAAATATTTTTTCTTCCCAAAATATTCACTTTTTCTGCAAACAGATGATTGAAAAATTTTAAATCATTGCTCAAACAACAATAGCCTTGTTAATGGGTGCTCATTTGAAATGAAATTTTGTGTTGTATTCTTCAGATTAGAGCACCTTAGTGACCCAGAACTTGACAGAGTACCATATACAGTGTTTGGATACATTCAACCTAGGGTAGCAATTTTCACCACTCCAAACAAAGACTTCAACTGTTTGTTTCCTGAACTAAAAGGATTTCGGCACTGGGACCACAAGTTTGAGTGGGACAGAATTGAATTTAGAACATGGTAAGTTAGTCAAAAGGCTTTATGCCTAAATGTCACTATACATTTCTATAACATAATCCAAGTATTCAATGGCAATGAAAATATTTTTTATATATATAATTGAAGAAAACTATTTGCCTGATTTTTACATGAAACTAGTCTTATAACTACTCAGTAATTACAACCACTTAATATTCTGTTGAAGAAAGTGTGATGAATTATTAATTTCCATATTTTTCTGAAAACATTTGTAAGTAGAAAGGGAAATTATAGATAAAATACAAAAATTAGGTTTAACACTTGTAAAGTAGAATCTAGTGAGAAAGTATGTTGATGCTGACCACTATGAAAGTTAACAGAATGAAAATTTTTCTTAAGCCTCTATATGCTATTTGAAATATCCAACAGTGTTTTTATCTTTATATTGAAGATGCCTTTTACTTTAACTTAATTTCCCAGTCTTTTTTGTTTCTCTCTCTCTCACACACATTCGCATTTGTCAATCAAACATCTTTGTTTAATTCATATTTCTGAAATGAATTCTGAGGTTCATGTTACTACTTCAGGTATCATATCTCCTACAAGCACTCTTTCACGTGCTGCAGGTTGGGGTGACCTGTCATTGGATTGATCAGCTATTATCTGCCGAGAGATTGATCATTATATGGGTCAACCACCTTCTCCTGAACTTGTTCCACTTTCTCCTGAACAAGCTGAACCTGTTTGGGCCAAGGAAGATTTTGATAGCCTTTTTCCACCACTGGATTTGCTGTGTCTTCTGTCTTCCTATGCCCCATCTGCAGAATCAGCTAGGCATAATATGGCATTTTTGGACATGATTTCTCAGAATGTGATGTTTTATCCATTTCCCCAATTTCCTATGATCCCCATCCTTCATTGTTGGATGATAATTCTTTCTCTACATATTTAGTGTTTCTGCCTTCCCCAAATATTAGGGGTCATGCTGAGCAATGTGATTCACAATTGATTAAGGGTACCAGCATGCCGAGCCCTCCAAGGGCTACAGATCAGTTTTCATGCCTTCATCTTGCTCTTACTTCACTTCTATGGTATTTATCTACCATCCATCTCCTTTCCGAGGTGATACACTGAGATCCTGAGGGGTTTTTGAGGGACAGCTTCTCCCTTATTACCTCCATGTTGGCTCGTTTATCATCTTCAGCTCTTGCCTTACACACGTGATTTCTCTGTCATTGGGATCTTCTGGGTTGTGATGAGGCCTTGTCCCATACGTTTGTTGCCCACTTACCTACAGGACTTGCGTATGGCCCCTTTTCTTGGCAGTATGATTTTGACCGTGTACCTGAGACTTTGGAATCACAGGTGGAGTTTATGCATCCCTTACCTGTTCCTCATCTCATCGTTTTATTCAATATAGATGGGCACAGTGCCTACAATAACGGTGACTACCCAGTGGGAGCTCAATTGTGTAAATTTGTTCCCCTTAGGCAATCTTTTGCCACAGATCAGTGGGTTATATGGGTTTTATTTGAGGGACTTGTCCTCCTATTTCTTTCCTCCTCTTGTGAAGATAAAACACAAAACATTTTATTTATAAGGTTCAAATGTTTCAGAAAACACTCACTCCATCTTCAGCAAAATCAGAAAATCATGTTACATAGATGATTATAAACTAAAACTCTAATATCACAATCAATAGTTCACTTAGTTTTTAAGAAAAATGGTAAAACAAAGGACTATACATATATTGCACAACAGTTGAGTTTAAGTGTGAAAATTTAGAACAATTATAAATCTAAAGAGCTTTGTGAGTCGTTAAGAGTCAGCCAGTCTTTAGCTATGAGTAAGCTTTCTTTAATGTAGAGCTCAAGGTCTGCAGATCCTGTGGTAATGACAGAGAAATAGTTAAATGAAATATTATGACCTGTGGTTTCAGAATATGAACGAATGTATGAGTGGTTTGGTTTAAGTAGTGGACAATCAGTTCTGATAGATACTCCTAAATGTTCACAGACTCTTGTTCTTAAGTGGTGTTTTGTTTTGCCAATGTACAGTCACTACACATATATTTATACATGAGCCATAATCAGCAGAAGGAATTTTAGAGATGCCAGATACTCCCACCTACCTCATTTGTTTAACCTGGTACAGCTGTGTTGTAGCATGCAAATAACCATACAACAACCCTCCACCAATAGGAGCTTCATACACTCTCCTGTTGCAGCCGGCTCCCTGTATAGTGTAGAATCCAATCTTCATTTCTCAATTTGGCACAGAAGAGTGTAATTGCTTAAAAAATTTGTTAGTGCTTGCTTAGTATTTTGCATTAACAGTTTAATTTGTTAAATATATTTTTATAATTGTTTCTAGTTTTTCTTAGCAATTTATATTTTTTTCTACAAGGAAACTAGATAGTTTAGGTTAGTATTTCAATATCTACTCTCAGCTGTCGTTCATACTTCCACTGCACTTCAACCTACAGTTCCTTAGGTTTCAGGTTTCACACTTTCTTTCTGAGGAAGTATCGGTTTTTTAGGACATCGTGATTTGGAGTTCATTATGCAGCCTGTTGTGTCTCTTGATCACAGACCAGAATTTCCTTTTTCTGGGGGAACAGTTACAGGAAGATGCCAATTTGGATAGCTTGTTTCCTCCTCCTTCCTTTGCCATGCAATCCTACTGTGGAAGCTCCCAGACTGTTGAGATGGGGTGTTCCACAGGACTGGTAATAGGTACATCCTTATGGTATATTGCATTATATATATGCCTGTCCCAAGACATACCAACTCATGGACTATCATGATTAATGCAGAGTTGGGATAGCTGCCCATCCATCTGATTCTGGTTGAATAAACAGGTTTTCGTGTTCACCCATTACACTTTCTCCAGTGTTGTGTTCTTCCAAACTCCTCACTGCATTATTCCATCTTTAAATGGAGTATGGGAATCCTTACCAGTTACTAGCTGCTGGAGTAGTGGACCATGGAGGAATCTTCCTGAGTGTGCTCAATCCCACTCACTTGGGAGTAGGGTGGTGGTGTTCTGTAGGTGTAGATGGTGTGAACTCTCCTCCTACTGCAGAGAAGTTCCTCTACCAAGAGATGTCACACTCCATGGGTGTTCTTTGGACTCTTTCTGAAGGGTGTTCATCTAGGTACATTTTGCACTGGTCCCTACACCATGTTAATGTGAGATTCTAGCTATTAGGTGAGAAGAGGTCAGGTATTGTATCGGAAGTTAAAATTTTCCTATACTAAAATAATATTTCAGATAGATACTAATATCTGCTCACACTTTCCACCCTACCTCCCCACTTTTGGTACTTCTTTTTTGCATAATCTCGAAATAAAAATTGGGTTTTCCACTATAGAGGAGCCAGCTGTGACAGGAGAGCGTTTTGTGCTCCTACTGATGGAGGGTTGCATGATTATTTGCATGCTACAGCACAGCTGTACCATGTTAAACATGTGGGGTAGGTGGAAGTATCAAGGCTAGTGGTGAGTGAACAATTTGTACATATAGAGGGCAGCACTAAATGAGAAAAGGTATTATGTAAGAGGAGGTAAGTATCTATCAGAAATATTTTTTCAGTATAGAAAAGTTTTTAACTTTCAAGTGTTACTGTACATTAGTATTATAGAAATGATTGTTTCAGTTGATATCTTATGCAAGTAGTTATTTGCATGAAAACAATCTGTAAAGGGTTTAATAATTTTTAGAAAAATGTGTTATACTAACATATATTTTGGAAACCTTTAATGCTCTCATGATTTTTTTGGAATTAATAATATTTTGCCACAATTAATTGAATGTTATACACTTTTCATTCCAAGTAAGAAATCATAAACTTCTGTATTTGTAAGTAATTTTTTATAGCTGAAGATGCATTGTTTTAATTTTGTAACTTTCTGATTTATCTGTTAGAGTTTATTTGGTATTACATTACCTTTGTCCTTGTTGCATTTATGTTCTCTCCATGTGATTGCATTTTTGTTTTTTCTAAAGCAACTACTTATCTTCTTTCTACTATATACAACAAATGAGCAAATTCACTAATGGATTGTCCATACAGTATACTATGAATTCATAACTCCACATTGATGTTGTGTTTCAAGGCCCAAATATTTATATTCAGGAATCTTCTACACCTATATCAATGGCAATTGCAGGTGCATTATCTATTTATGATGTTATCGCTATTGTATATCAATTGATATGTTCCTTTTTTTTTTTCCTACTTCCCCAATTTAGGTCCTTTGTTATCCTGTTTCATTGCCTTCTGTGGAGCCTGTCTAACCTGTGGAAGATTTTGACTAGGTTTTAACACCTCCAGCCTTTGCTTCCGGTTATTCCTCATAAAAAAAAACATGTACTTCCTCCTTTTTTTTTTGCTTGCTATGGACATTTCTCAGGTATATGAGATTCTAAATCTCTTTCACCAGTAAATCCTGATAACTCTTAGATTCCTTTATTTCATAAACCTCCATTTGCTTACTTTCCTTCTCCTCCCCCTCTTGTCCACACTGATACTATTCTATTTTTCACTTTTCAGTGTTTTCCTAATTCTCCTCATCTTCATGACCTGTGGTCATGACTCTTCTGTATTTCTTCTATACCAGTCTCTTGAGTCTATCTGTATGCTTAGGACACTCACCTTTCACCTTCTTTATTTCTTTCTTTCTAACAATCTACTTGTCTTTGACTTTTTTGCAACTTCTTCACTATATCTTTATTCTTTATCTCCTCACTTTGTTTCTCCATCATGACCCTTATAGTTTTGTAGGGGACATCTTTCTTTGTTTTGTGGATCCTCTCATTCTGGATCTTTTGCTTTAGGGTGTCAGTATCTGCTTCCCTTCCTCATATCTATATGACCTTTGTCTTGCCCTTTTTTTTACACTCCTAGTCTTTATGGGTGTTCCTGACTTCTTGGAATCTCAGGTTGAGCTTGACTGCTTGCTAGCAATCATTCATTGTTTCACTGGTTCCCCACCATGAGTACTCAGTCTACTACCTATCTTTGGAAGTCACATTGGGGCCAATCTCTCTCCTATTCTTTGTCAAATCAGTTCTGTTTACCATCTCCCTCTCCCTTAAGGCAGACTGTCGTGACTCTTGGCAGTGATTTCTTTGAAACTCATTCTGGGCTCTGAGCCCTTTAGCACCCATCTCCCCCCATTTTGCCCATCTGTGGTCTCTCATACCAGCAACATTTAGGCTGTGCAAGCTCTTTCTCATGGTCTGTCTCTGCACTTTAATACTCCTTCCCATCCTTTCCCCTATCCTTCTCATTCTGATCCTCTGTGTACTCAACATCTTCAGGATGTGGTGACCTCTTTGTTGGATTTACAAATCCAGCAAAACTCCATATTTCAGTAACAGCTATATTGTAAAGAGATTCCAGTAAACTGGCACTTCTTATTATAGAAATGGTTGAGGTATACAACAAATTTTGAGTGCTTGGGGTACTTTCTTAACAAGATAGACAATATAGACCTTGCCAGTGACTTTGCTGTAAACATAGGTGGGAATATTACTTTAAGCAGTAAGATACTCATTAGCACAAAGTAGTCTTATTGGATATGTAGCTGCTTGAAAACCATGAGAAAACATAACCAAACTAAAAGGTTGAAATGGGAATTGAACCACAAAAATTGGAATGAGCAAAGTTGGAAAAACGTAATTTTTACAGATGGTGCCAAATATGAATCTTTAGGTAACAACTAATGACAGTTTTTTTTTTTCAATGGTAAGCATAGTGAGGGGGATCAGTCTTAGTTTGAGGCTGCATCTCTGTTGTAAGTGTCAGTGATCTTGCCAAAATTTATGTCACTCTGATTCATCATGCCATTCCATCTGGAATGCTAATCCTTAGACGGGGATACTTCTTCCAGCAAGACAGTGATCTCAGGTATGCAGCAGATGTATTGAAACAATATCTTGACAGTATAGAGACCAATGGAACACTCACGGCCATGACTTGCTCAAAAAGTCCCAATATGAGTATTTTTGAGGCTGACCAAACAACTTGGGTGAATTGTGGTGAGTAATACAGGAAATTAGAAACAATACTCTGCAACCATACAATGATAAACTATATTGCAGCATAAAACAAGGTGTAACACTGTGTAAAGCAAAGAACCTACGTACACAATATTGTACATGTACATTGTACAGTCTTGTTAATTTTCTTTTTGAATTTTCTGTGTTTGTACCATTCATAAGTTCACTATGTTAGTTGCTGCATGTGTTTTATTTGTGTGGTTCCATGATTACTTCCATTATTGTAAATAGACGATTCTTAGACATATTAAATGTGTAGAGCTACATATGTTTGCAAGCTCAATTGTGTATACTTAACATAGCTTATAACTGTAAAAACATTTTCATTATTGAAATTGTTTTATCAACAAATATATATATAATTAAACTCCAGTTTATAGTCAAAGTGTAGCATTTAAGCATTTTTGCAAAATTTTTTTTTATTTTTCTGGCCAATTGCCATATTCAATCTGTAAATTATATACTTTTGGCCAGGTAAAACAAAATCAGGTTGTCAAACTCTGGGGGCAGTGTTATAAAATGTTATTGTAATATATTTAATATTTGTTTGTTCCAGGTGTTTGAATGTTATAAAACAGTTTTCCAACTACACTGTTGACATTTTTGGAATTGGAGAACCTCCTTCAGAGTCAGCCAGTCTTGGCTGCTGTAGCCAACTTGCTGTTTTTAGACAGATTTTGGTTAACAATCACATTAATTGGAATGACCTGAAGCCAGATAAAGAAACACCCTACATTTTAGTAAGTTTACCCTCAAAAATTAACTAAAGAGAAGTGTGGAAAAAATATATATAGAAAACAAGTCTAAGGAATTTTTTCTTATCAGCAACTACGAAAATAAAGTAATTTGTCTTGTATTTACATTGATTACTTGCTTATAATATGCAGACATTACATTTGGGATGCAGTTATCATGTAGGAAACCTTGTTTCTATTTATGCAGTTAAATGTGTTGTAATATTTTATCATTCTTCCTGAACACTACAGAGAGATGCTGAATCTGGTGTTTGGTCCAAAATGATAAACTGATTATTTCATAAAATATAAGTTGTATTTATACCATGTGTTTACTTCATAGTAAAGATTTTGCTACAAATTACATATGATCTTGAGAAAATATTGTGATCTGCTGGTCAAAGGAGTTTAAAGCACTACTTCAACTCCTGTGCAAGTAGAGTATATGTGAATATTCAGTGCATCTTATTGCTCAGTAGACAATGTTTAAGAAGCCTTTGTGATGTGACTACACACTATTCTTTGTTGTTTTTTTAGATTGCACTTGGATGAAGAAAATAATCTACTGACATACAATAGAATTCATTAAGGATCGATCATTTGCAAAAGCACCAAGTTTAATTTATAATTCCTTTCCCTGACCAGATTTTCATTTATATTAGTCAGAGTGTTTGTTAAAAACTTTGTTTTGTGAAGAACAACTTTTAAATGTGTGGCAATCATCCTTGTTACAAATATTTACCACACTAATTGTTTAACATGTCTTGCAGTAGTTGAATGTTTTACATTATTAAAATACAAGTTATTGGCTGAGTTTCATATCCTTATTCTTATGCTGTTATTAAAGTTTTTTGGTTTAAATGTTATAATTTGAACTATTAATGCTTATGTTAATGTATCTGATTCTAAACCTTCACATTAACTTCATGTTCTCTTCTAGATTACTGAATATATTTATCCACATGAAGAGTCTTTGACTGAAGCCTAGGAACATTTTACAACTGATATAGCACAATTCTTTGTTTTTTAGGAATGATACTGCAATTTTGTTAATGTATGTATTTTCAGAACATTAAGCTTGGGAAATTAGTTTTCTCCAATAGATTCAACTATGTTTCTTTGTTCAATTTAGAGAAAGACCAGTCAATTTTTTCATTTTAACTTTAAACATTGCTGTTTGATTATGAGAACTAAAACATATTGTGAATTGTTTCATAGAAGAAGCTATACAGTTTGTATGTAACTAGTTTTATGCTGTTTCTTCACTAAATACAGGTAATTAATACTCATGTAAATAGTGTTAACATATATCTTCTTTCTATATTTCATATTTTTATATATGTTTGTGCATGTGCGTGTGTGTATTTATATATGTTAAAACAGTTTACTTTTTGAATGTAGAGAAAATTGGCACACAATAAAATTTAAAATAATAGAAAGGTCAATATATTAAAAGTTTGCCAAGTTAAGTTTCGTAAATAAGGTACAGAAAAAATTAAGATGTAAATACTACCTGGAAACCGTTTTATTTTTATTATAAATAGTAAAGGAACTCATTTTTATAATAATAAAAAATTATCTTTTCAAGTTATAAAGCCTCCAGTTTTTCTTTTATCGTGAAAGGAACTTGGGTGTGTCATATGACTTCTATCACTTTTCCAGTAGATCATATTTGATTCTCTTTCATATTGTTGCCTAGAGTATATGGATGGCTTTTGCCACTGAACTTTGTTTTTGTAGTTTTTCACTTGTTACAAGATGCCATACTTTGTTTACTACAGCTGGAATATTGCTTGCTGCATGTCTCTTTTTAGATGGTCCTGGTGCTCCAAATTCGTCCACATTCTTTTGTTTTCAAATTTCATTACGTACAAGAGAAATCCCAATGTTGGACATTCTAAATCCCTAATCTGAATACATCTTTATGATAAGAGTATGCAACTATTTTACATTGGAAAAGGCTATTACATACCCTTCCCAAAAGCAGTCAGTTTCATTGGCATCACATTATCTACAAAACCCTCAAACATTGTCATTGCAACTGTATTTCAGCTGTAGGTTTCATGTGACTTGCTGATTTGTATATTCGAAATCATTTTAATTAATATAACATACTCAAAGCTCTGTAGTACCTTTACAAAGTGAAATTTGAGATGGACTTTCAATGGAAGATTGGATTAAAATAATCATTACATTTGGACTGATTATAAGTAGGGTTCATAGGCATAAAGTAGTTTTCTATGCACATAATTTTGACAACTTATTTAATGTGTCATGAAAGATAGCACATCAAATTTTAAAAACTGCCTGTGATAATAGTTAGGTTTCACGCTCTTGAAATAGCTGGGTGAGTAATTATTACACTTCTGTTTGAAATTAAATTAATTTTTTAAATATATATTTTCCACTGACTACATTATTATCCACTGATCCTTTTACCAATTTGTTTATTAGTTCACTGTAATAAATTTTCTAAGTTTATTCTTGTTCCTTTTTATGGGTTAGTGAATGATGTTAATGTTACATTGATTCTGGGAACTAGAGCATGAATGTCTGTCTAGTAGACATCAGCAGTATGATGCTAACTTTTTGCACATGTAGTGAGACATCTAAACATTAAACCATATAATGTTGTTGTTTTTTATGAAATAAGAATAGGATTTTCTCAAATGCACTGATTACCAACATGTAAAAATAGTCTTGCTAGTAACTAGATGCTAGAACATGAATTTTTTTTATTATCTTTGTAGCTGAAAATTGGAATCAATTGAGTTGCAGAAAAGAGACTGAACACATTGTAAGACAAAGTAAAAATCATTCTTTATTTTCAACAACAACAAGTATTCAATAATAGACAAGTTCATTAAAAGTTGGACAGCACTCTTTTGGAGTAATTCCAGATATATATATATATATATATATATATATCTGAGGAAAATTCTGTAAGAACAAAAATATCTTCTAGAATGAGAGTGTGGCATGCCATGCATAGAAACAGTAACATTATTCTTGTGAGAACACAGGCGCTACCAATATATCATTGGCTATCCCAATTAAGTAAAAGTAGGGAGAGCTTAACCCTCAGGCATTTTCTAAATTTAAACAAAACAGTATTGTCAGAGAATCAAAGATAGATCTCCACCAACATTGCCATAGAGAAATATGGGTCAAGCCTTAACAATTTGTAAGCAGCATATGAAATCAATACTGCTCAAGATGGATTTCCTATGTGTGATTCTGTAAGCATTCAGCAATAGCCAGACTTGACCTTTGGTTCTTCAAAGTATGTCTGTCAAGCAATCAAAAACTTGAACTTTCAACTGGCTCCAAGAACCAATAGCCAGAAGGATCAAGAACTTTATCATAAATAGAAAATGTCGAGATGCAAAATGTTTGGTCAATCCAGTTTTTGATTGGTTAGAACTTAGAAGCCTGACAAGTTATGTGTGTTTCAAAGCTGTCATGGCTGAGTTACAACTAAAATCTGCCCCAAAAACAATTATGGAAAAGTATATGTACATGTAGTTTAGTTTGTAGATGCCCCAACCTTTCATCTGTGAATGTCCCAGTTCACCAGATTTCATTTTAGGTACACGTTTGAGCAGATAACTGTTATCCCTGCTATATCATTTCAGAATTACTATAATCATTACAGCTACTTCCCACATTGCATGTGGGTCTTCCCCCATCATCTGATTGTTATGGTAACAGAATCTTGGATTGACGTAAAAAGAAATAAACTAACTTCAAGTTCCTATAGATATGACTGAATCTTGGTCTGTACTGTTAAGCATTGTCTTTCACCTCTGACCATGAGATTCCATTGTTACCAAAATATTGTTTTCATATTACTTTGACTTGATACAGCGAAGTTCATCTCGAAACAACTACAAGTAATGGCACATTAATGTTACTTTTGCCTTGGGTCTTATCCTCACATTACCGTCTTCTAACTGCAATGTTAAATATTCATTAGTAGATGAGTATCCCAAAAGTTGGTGGTGGGTGGTATTGAGTAGCTTACCTTATCTCTAGTCTGCTAAATTAGAGACGTCTAGCGCAGATAGCCCTCGTGTAGCTCTGCGCGAAATTCAAAACAGACCAAACCAAGTATTATGAAATTGTACTCTCTGGCTATCTAACTTTCTGGAAAATAGAAAATGTAAAATATATGTAAGAGGAACTTTCTCGGAGTCATTTACTCCAGAGGCAGGCGTCCTCCAAGGAGGGGTAGTTAGCCCTATTTATTCATCATGTATGTGACCAATATGCCCCAATTTTGGGGTTTTCATCACAATTCGTGGACGATGTTGCGGCCTGAAAAAGTGTCCCCACTCCATCTATAGCAGCAACAAATTTTCATCCGCAAGTAAATAATATTGTAGAACACTGTCGAAAATATTGAATAAAAATAAATGTTCCTAAAAATCAAACAAGACATAAAGATGGCCTACCAAAACTATATATGAATAGAACACTTCTCCAGACCACAACATCAGCAAAATTTCTAGGTTTAACCTACAACTCTAAGCTAACGTGGGTTAAACACATAAATAATATATTAACAAAAATTTGGAAACGCTCAAATTATGCATGGAGTCTAACTGACAAAAACTATGGTACCTCACCAGCCAGTATAATCAAATATACAAAACATATATATGTCCTGTTATAGAATAATCATGATCAAACATAACGCCAAAACACATTAATAACCTACAATCGATACAAAACTCCCTCTGACTGCTGCATATACAGTACCTCGTACCACATAATCAAAATTCATGCACAACTACGCAAACATACAAGCCATTGCCAATAGACTTTTTCATAATTCTGTAAATTACTTTGCGAAAAATTGGCTAAAGAACGGCCTATTATGTAAACTAAATCGCTACTACATACATGATGGAAGCAAACATAAGTACCTCTCGTCAGTTGACATATATTTTGCCCCCAGTGGCACAACGGTATGTCTGCGCACTTACAACGCTAGAATCCGGGTTTCGATGCCCGTGGTGGGCAGAGCACAGATAGCTCATTGTGTAGCTTTGTGTTTAATTACAAACAAACATAACAGACATATATTTTAGGAATAAGGACTTAATCAGGCTACCTAATTCTAGATCGAAAACCTTACATTAGTTTTAGACTAGGCTGACAACATTTGAATGTTATTTTTATGTATCAAGGTCTCGATTATTACTAGAACTAATGAAATGTGTTGTTATATGCTGAACTTTTCGCTAAGTACCGAATATAACAGATGATATACATAACACACTAATGCAAATATTAAGTAGGAGTAAGAGAGGTTTACTCTGACCTTCATGTCGTATCAATATTCATATTCAGCTGAAACCTAAAACCACAATACGGGAGAGAGAGAAAGAGATAACACGAACCTGGCCCTCCCTGGTCTTTAAAAACCTAAATCCCGATAAGGAATAATAAGATATTGTACTGCCATCTGTGTGTCGGTTCGCCCACTACAGAAAAATATACATTGGCATAGTTTAGTGAAACAAGGACTTTGCTGATAAGATTTATTATAGCCTGATTTATGTTCTATGCCAATTAATAACACAATTCCATCACAATACACGTGTAAGTCGTGTACAAGCCTTATATACAGGTGTTCATAAATTATCTGACCCATTTTAAAAATTAATAACTTCAAAATATTATAGATAGAACACTCCGGTTTTATTTAATTGACGAACAACTCATTAAGTTTTTTTTAAGGTAATTTGTCCCAGCACAATTTTTTCCGAGTCTACTGATCTTTCGAGTACGTCACAACTTCTCGTGTTCATTCGTGGTGTTAATTTGGACTTTCAGATCATAGAAAAGTTGGCATCCGTTTGCAGCATGCACGGAACAACAACTGGAGAAGACATTTTCATGGAAGTGCAGAAAACTTTGCAGATTCAGATATGTGCGCACTGGGTGTGATATAACTATCTTATTGCTAACGTCGCCTTCTTTGATAACTTTTTGGAAAATAAACATGTTTGTTGTCTTTATTTTTGTGTATTCACTGTATTGTATTGAACAAAATGGTTATGTGGCCCGCGCTTGTCATTCTCTCATTTATCTAGGCCGCTGTGAAAAAAATTTCGTGACCCCTGTACTGAGAGATAACTGAACTTCCAAGTATTTTTTCTCTGTCTATTGAGAGTTAACTAAACTTCCAAGTATTTTTCTTATTATTTTTTCTCCATGTTTTGAGAGATAACTGAACTTCCAAGTATTTTTTCTCTGTCTATTGAGAGTTAACTAAACTTCCAAGTATTTTTCTTATTATTTTTTCTCCATGTTT